GAACCCTGCGGAGTGGGGTTCAGATCAAGCAGATCGGGCCTGTCGGGACGCATGGCTGACAAGGACCATCCCGGTAGTCAGGTGCGGTTCCGTCATGACTTGGAAGTGGTCGCTGGGGAGACCTGCGGTACAACCCACCAGTCATGCCAGCGGGCTTTGGATCCGACTTCCGGGATTGTGACCCGAAGATTAACCGACTGGGGCGCCTGGAGTTCTTCGCGTTTTCTCGAATCCGCTTGTGCTTTCAAGGCCTTTTTGACGGTTTCGATCGCGATACTGGCACCGATACAGGCCCGCATGGTATCTTTAATGTCTCGCTTCCAGTCTTCCTCGATGGCGAGAGCGGGGCTATCCCTCTCATCGGAATCGCGCATGAATGCACCGTTGGCCAGCGTGGCTTCCCAAGCCTTTCGTGCTTCCGAAATGGCTTTAGCGGCACGCTCTAAGACGATATCATCGCTGTCACCTTCTAGTACCGCCTCCCGGTGGTACTCGTCGTAAGGAACCAGCTCCGGTAAGGTGATCTGGAGGAAGGGCTTCATGCGGATCTCGTACCTTAACCGGTTGCTGGAGTAGGCCTGGGGTGAAGAAGTGGTTGGCAGGACTCGATGGCGAGCGAGAAGAACGTATAGCGCGTGCAAAGAAATGGCAAATGCATCCACAGCAACAATCTGTGTAGTCATCCTCTCAAGAAGTTGAATAGACCGCTGAAGGATGGTATGGCGCTCGATGGCATCGCGCTGCTTAGCCGCCAGTTCCGCCAAATTGCGTTTCGCCGTGGCCACAGTAAAGGTCCGGATTCGATCGATGTGACCGAGGTGGGTAGAGCAAATGTGGGACAGGTACCAATACATGCCAGGTAGCTCTTCAGGCGCGTAAATAGAGAGCTCGAATCCGAGCTGTAAGATCAGACGGAATTGGCTCAATTTATGATGATACGCCCAGCTGCTGAGGGGGTAGGAGTAAGTGGTATCGCCATTGGCTAGCTGCAAAGGGGGCTCATTGCTCAATGTGCGAAGCTGCTCGTCAAGATCTTCGGCCTAGGAACGAGATTAGGCTCCAGCCGCCGCGACAAGGGAAAAGTGGGAACTCACTTCCATCTGCAAATTGTCCCAGTCTACAAGTGTATGACAGACAGTCCGTCGGATACGACAGCGGTTCAAGCAGGCACTCCGGAATGTATCAACAAACGGCTGCACCAGGTTAGCTCAATCGCTGGTCGTGATAGATGCATTTTGCAGCTTACTTACCTGGGAGAAACGTTTCGTGAAGACATCCATGTGCTGCGCTATCTGGAATCGTGGATCCGAAGGCACTTCGATCTCATCCGCACTGGCTTGCAGAAGTATACTAGACGGAAGAACGATCTGTTCCAGTTCGTCATAGAGGAACTGCTTCACGGGAACCGCTCCAAGTATCGTCCTGTTGCTGACGATAAGGGACTGAACAAGAGATCTTATATAGACGGAAGGCTGAGGCTTTCGCGAAAGCAGAGTCCAGATGACCACCTAAGCAGGTTAGCATCAACTACGATCAGAATGAAACAAATTCTCCGCACCTTCAAATTATACGGCCCTCGGTAGTCAATAATCTCGAGCAAATCAACAGCATCCTGGCATAATCTTCTCAAATGCGCCAGCGCATCCTCAAAGCTAATCTTGACCATTGGACGAGGAGGAACAGTGCTAGCCAGCTTCCGTTGGATTTTGCAGCTGAAGGATTCAGGCACCTCTTTCCCTAGGACAGCTGACTTGCCTAGAAAGTCCAGATGAGATAGACAGCTCAGAAACTGCGCTGTCGATCGTGTCTCTATCACTTCCACATCCTGCTCCAGTCCCCAGAGAAACTCTCGTCGGAAGAGCAAGCGAGCCCGAATGGCTTCCGCCACCTTCTCACCGAGCGTATCCGTGTGTTCGTCAACCCAGCGAATCGCGTGGTCCAAAAGATCATGAAAATGTTTGGAGTCGAATTGTGATAGTAGAGTGCGATTATACAATTGAGTGACGAAGTCCTCCTCCTTAAAGGAAAGCAAACTATGAGTCAGATCCATGTACAACCAGCAGAGCACGGCAACACCTACCTCAAAATAGTACTCAGTGGTGACTCGCGCATGTACAAAATCGCAACACTTCACAAGCGCGAGGCAGTAAGCACGCAGGACAACATGCACTATATCAGGAACCTTCTTGTTGCTTTGCGACTGTCCCCGGCCAAAATGCGCGTTTTCGAGGGTTTTCGGTACGGGCCATAGCAGCCTATCGAGGTACAAGGAAGTGAAAAGGGTCTGGGAAAGGGGGTGACCCATGTGCCATGCCATCTGCCATTACGTTGACTCGGTTAGTTCGCGTGCTGCACCTTGAGTAAGAAGACCAGGTCAAACCTACCTCGTGACACAACAACTCGTCCATGATCCCCAGAACCTCTTCCGGAGCCAGCTCCCGCATCAAGTCGAAGTCGTCCTCAAGGGCCTGTGCGTGATTCTCTCCAGGGCCCAAGTAGCCACTATCCATCTTCGAGTCCATGATCTGAGGAGCCACAGTATATCAGTCTTGATGTTTGGGGTTCGAGACTATCAGCATGGCTGAGTATCGAGTCGCAACCAACCTCAAGGGCGCCAACGGCCTCGAAAAGCGTAAAGCATTCATCTTTAACCAGCTGACCGGTTCGAAGTTCTATTTTAGAAGGGATAAAGTCGTCAATACACCACGTATAGGATTTAAAAGCAAGGCCAGCGGGGATGAGATGCTAACTTGAAGCAGCGATTGTGAAGTCATCTGTGATGTCGCGCGGGACAACAGACTCTGGAACGACCCGCATTGTCGGGCCTCTTACTTCGTTATTTGGCAGCATGGAAGTAAGCAATCATCTGCAGCCAGCTGCTAGACTTCCGAAGCCGGTCATGGATAGTTGGTTCAATGATTTCAGTGGAGATCGGAGAGGATGCTGGAGAGCGGGCGAGGGGAGGCGGGGAGTCGGGCGGACAGGGCAAAACTTGCGGGAACGCAAGCCCGCACCGGTTGAGCAGGAAGGAGTTCCGAAGGAGCTCTTAAGACCATGCCACAAAAACGACCCCCGAGCATTACGTTTAGTACAACAGGCAATTTACTTTGATCAACCATGAAAGCAGGAGGGACACAGTCTTTTCTATTTATACCTGGTCAACGGGCCAATATTGCTACAGAGATCCAGTCCATTCCTGCATCAGAGTACCTCCCGAGACCTCATCAACCTCTGCCCAGCGCTCATTCTTTGTATTCAGACAGTCGTTCTTGCGGAGAGATAATTTATTTCGACTCAGCCTGGCCGGCGGTGGCCTGGACCTGAGCAAGGTTCTTGACTTCACCCTGCTTGCCGTTCTGGATTGAAGAGTGTGTTAGTCGGGATACTTTTGTGCCATTGACCTCCGATAACCACCGGAAGGGTGTCCAGATACGAACCTCCCACTTAGCGAAACGCAGGTCCATCTGACCACGGCGCTCAGCGGCAGCACGAGGACCGTCCTTGAGGGAGCGGCGGACGGCGCGAGCGGCGACGGCCAGGTAGCGGTTGTAGCTGTAAAAGTCGGTCATCACGTTAGTCAGGGCCTATGGTCGGGAGATCAAGCGGACGTAGAGTGACTAGAAACGTACGTGAGACCAGCGGACTTCCAGGCGAATGCCATTTTGACGGTAGAAGACGAATGAGGGGATTCGGTTTAAGGAGAGGGTATCGCTTTCTCTGTGATGCTTTGCAGACGGTCGAGTTCGGAGAATCGGGAACTCGGGTCATGTGACTCACGTGACATTTCTCGTCACCTGACCGTATCCCGGATGACGCTGACGGGCGGGTGGACCGGACTGGAGTGAATGTATACTTCCAAATCGGGTAACACTATACACAGTCAGGCTGGGCTAAGAGCAAAGAACATGCAGCCTCACGGTCTTTCTTGATATGTAATCTTTGAGCCAGCCAACATAATTGAGATGCTTGGAATAAGGTGGAAGCTTGGAAACCTAGCACTATCTCTCGTGTCGATTGGCTCCTCGAAACCCGGATGTAATAAACCTGAGGAGGTTGCACCGGGTTAGAGCCTGTTATCGTAGCTATCCTCTTAAACTGATGTGTTACTAGGGAACTGCACCGCAGCTCAGTCACCTCATCAAGCACCGTGGACTTGCGTAGATGGATATCACCCAGATTAGCCTTAACACTCCGGTCACTTATATAAAAGAGTAACCTTCCACTGGGATCGCCAAGACGAACTTACAAACGGAATATCACAAATTGTGATTAGATCGTTGTTATCAGATGAGACGCGGGTCTAAGACGCGGGTCCTGGAAGATTGAGCAGTGTGTTCCCCTGGAAACTTTTTGATATTAACCACTGCTCCAATCGTTGTGCGTTTGCTCAACATGTAAGCTGTGGTCAGGTCCTGTCTGTTTCATGAGTGAGCTTTCACTCACCTAAGCTCACCTTACTTCTTTATCTTCTTTCATATCACTCTCTTCCTTAATCTCAAATCTACAGACTCTACATTGGTAAGTGAGTCCTGTCGACTACTTCTGATCTGCAAAATATCTCCCCCCCCCCCCTCTCTCTCTCTTCAGACGCGTAACCGATAACTTCTTATCCTTTACATGCATCTCATTATATGAGGGCTGACTGACGTGATTCTCACGCAGAAATCAATCGGCGAGAAAAGCCCAGGCAGGTTCTGATTGGATCTAGACAACGGTATTGGGTCTCTGGTTGGCTTTCAAGTGATATCTGTGACCTTGAATGAGGCTTATATTGAGAGCTCGCACAGGGTACAATGAGCTCCTCTCGCAAGTCATCGAACAGGCCAAAAAAACGCGTTCTGGTACGATGGGATGGTATACATACCTTTTTCTCTCTGCCTTCGACACTCATTTTCTTGTCAAACCATAAGCTAACAATTGAAGAAAACCTGAACGAGCTTCTTCTCCTGACTGTACAATCTGTTTGTAACATCCAGTCCGTGAAGATTCCATGGACCGAGGTTGCCAGCACCATGGGACACAATGTCACCGAGGGAGCTATCATCCAGCACTTGGCAAAGCTTCGCAGCCGTAGGGTTGCTGCTGGCAAACCTGTACCTCCGCCCCTGCGACGTGGCGGCCTTGGTGCCCCGAGCAAACCAACTGAAGCGACATCAGGCAAGAATACGCCCGACAGCAAGCCTCAGCGAGTCACCGCAGGAGCGAAGGACAATGGTGAGACGGGAGCAAGTGATCTCGCGGACGTAGACTCATCTTCGGATGAAGACTATGTGGAGGGAAGAGCATCCAAGTCACGCAAGAAAAAAACCAACACGGCCGGCTCACGGGCCCGACGTAAGCGCAAGCCCATTGTCAAATTAGAACGCGACACTGATGGGTATGACTCGGATGAAGAAGATGAAGACGACAATCTCTTGGTCCCTGGCGCGGAGTTTCTTGATTGCCCGAATAGCATGAGCTCACCCCCCGAGCGTCAGGTGGGGGGCCCGAAAGATAACCAACCCAGGAAGATAATCGTACTCAAGTATGCAAAACCTACCAATCAAGCTTCTACTGGTGACATCTCGGAGCCTGTCTTGGGTTCGACATCTAATGATGCTTTCATTGCATCGGGCTATACATTGCAACAGCAACCTGCCGGGGCTAGTCAGTTCCCAATTCAGAGCCAAGCCCCCTCAGCCAAACTATCTGAAACTTTCTATCAGAACGCTGTGCCCTCGGCGGACAGCTATATGCACTTACAGCCTGGTGATCCTGGACACCATCCCTCAACCCTCTGGTTCAACGACGCTACTCTTGGATATCCCAATGCTGTTTACCACGGGCTTTCCAATCCTGATCTGGATATCGATTTCTCTGGAAACCATATGAGTAACACAGACCAGCAATTCGATCATTTGCCTGGCTTTGACGATGATTTGGTAGGCTAGTTGTTGTCACTCCGGATGACGCTCTTGACATACCAGCACTTCAATGTCTCCTTTTGTAGCGAGACTTCAATGACTTGGTGTCTTTCTTATCGTACAACCAGGCACAGCTCAACATTTTTTTCATGCTCGTCTCTGGCAATGATCCTCGTTTTTTCTTATTCTCTCTAGTCATCTTTCACTGATAGCTGGGCATTCTTTTTTTTTCTTTTTTTTTTTCTTTCCGAGCTTTAGTCCCAGGCGACGATTCTGACGCTGATAATGGTTCTGTTTTAATAATGCTACCAAAAACATCACTGGCTATTGATGAATAAAAGACAGCATGTTCAATACGATAGTTCTTTTGTAGATTGAGTCCACAGTGACTAGTTAACTTAGTTAACTTACAGTACGGTTGTAAGCAAGAGCCGATCATCGGGCAAGTGTTCTGCCAGTGACATCCGACGAGCCGGACGATTTCCCTCGGATACCCGATGTCCACGTGATCTTCTAGGAGCTTCTGCCAGCCAAGACAATCCGGGGATCGAGAACCGCCTGGAAAATTTTCGAGACTTTGGCTTCATCTCCATCTTCTTTCATCTCTCCCCATCCTCCTCTTTTCTTCTCTACCTCTTCTCCCTCATTACCCGTCCTTGCTCTGAGAGTTCCGACTGGGCTGACTCTGTTTGATTGACCTCATTATCTTCTTCTGTCTGTTTTCTGTCTATTAATTCCCCCCCTTCCTCAAGATGCAGAGAGCTCTCGGTTCCAGGACTTCTGTCCTTTCTGCTGCTTCTAAGCGCGCTCCCCTCTACAGATCCTCCGGTGTTAACCTGCAACAGCAGCGTTTCGCCCACAAGGTATGCTCCTCTCACCTCAGCAAGATGCCGATCCGGGTATGCCGATGAGTCAATCCACAGCCTTGCTAACTTCGTGTAGGAGCTCAAGTTCGGCGTTGAGGCTCGTGCCCAGCTCCTCAAGGGTGTTGACACTCTTGCCAAGGCCGTCACCTCCACTCTTGGTCCTAAGGGTCGCAATGTCCTGATTGAGTCTCCCTACGGCTCTCCCAAGATCACCAAGGGTAAGCCATCGCCCTACATTCTCACTTCCGATCAAAAGAGACCATCCCCGTACTGACGTGTGTAGACGGTGTGAGTGTCGCCAAGGCCATCACCCTTCAGGACAAGTTCGAGAACCTCGGTGCCCGCCTCCTCCAGGATGTTGCCTCCAAGACCAACGAGCTTGCTGGTGACGGTACCACCACCGCCACCGTTCTCGCCCGTGCTATCTTCTCCGAGACCGTCAAGAACGTTGCCGCTGGCTGCAACCCCATGGATCTCCGCCGCGGTATCCAGGCTGCCGTCGAGGCCGTCGTCGACTACCTCCAGCAGAACAAGCGTGACATCACCACTGGTGAGGAGATCGCCCAGGTCGCTACCATCTCCGCCAACGGTGACACCCACGTCGGTAAGCTCATCTCCACCGCTATGGAGCGTGTTGGCAAGGAGGGTGTCATCACCGTCAAGGAGGGCAAGACTCTTGAGGACGAGCTTGAGATCACCGAGGGTATGCGCTTCGACCGCGGTTTCACCTCCCCCTACTTCATCACCGACACCAAGGCCCAGAAGGTCGAGTTCGAGAAGCCCTTGATTCTGCTCTCCGAGAAGAAAATCTCCGCTGTCCAGGACATCATCCCTGCCCTTGAGGCCTCTACCACCCTCCGCCGTCCCCTCGTCATCATCGCTGAGGACATTGAGGGCGAGGCTCTCGCCGTCTGCATCCTGAACAAGCTCCGTGGTCAGCTCCAGGTTGCTGCCGTCAAGGCTCCCGGCTTCGGTGACAACCGCAAGAGCATCCTCGGTGACTTGGCCGTCCTCACCAACGGTACCGTCTTCACTGACGAGCTCGACATCAAGCTTGAGAAGCTCACCCCTGACATGCTCGGATCCACTGGCTCCATCACCATCACCAAGGAGGACACCATCATCCTCAACGGTGAGGGCAGCAAGGACAGCATCGCTCAGCGCTGCGAGCAGATCCGTGGCGTCATGGCCGACCCCGGTACCTCCGAGTACGAGAAGGAGAAGCTTCAGGAGCGTCTTGCCAAGCTCTCCGGTGGTGTTGCCGTCATCAAGGTCGGCGGTGCCTCCGAGGTTGAGGTTGGTGAGAAGAAGGACCGTGTCGTCGATGCCCTGAACGCCACCCGCGCCGCCGTTGAGCAGGGTATCCTCCCCGGCGGTGGTACCGCTCTCCTCAAGGCCTCCGCCAACGGCCTTGGCAACGTCAAGACCGCCAACTTCGACCAGCAGCTCGGTGTCAGCATCATCAAGAACGCCATCACCCGCCCTGCTCGCACCATTGTCGAGAACGCCGGTCTCGAGGGCAGCGTCATCGTTGGCAAGCTCACCGATGAGTTCGCCGGTGACTTCAACCGCGGTTTCGACAGCTCCAAGGGCGAGTACGTCGACATGATCGCCACCGGTATCGTCGACCCCCTCAAGGTTGTCCGCACCTCCCTGGTTGACGCCAGCGGTGTCGCCTCCCTCCTCGGTACCACCGAGGTCGCCATTGTTGAGGCCCCTGAGGAGAAGGGCCCTGCTGCCCCTGGTGGTGGCATGGGTGGCATGGGCGGCATGGGCGGTATGGGCGGTGGCATGTTCTAAGCTGCTTCTGCCGCTTCTGCTACCCCATTCTCGTCTCCTATCTACCCTTAAACCTTACGTCCTTGTTCCTGAAAGGTTTCTCCTTCAAGCGTGTTGTTGCATAGTCCGGGTTATATCCTGATATATGGTTTCTGTTTCTTTTCTTTTTCTTAATGTGTCGCATGTCTTGTCTAAATCCTCCTTCCTATCTTATATCCGATCCTATCCTCCTTTTCCTCCTTTTCTTCTCCACTGGGATCGGATGCCATACTCATACCATCTCCACTCCGCTATCTTGGACACAAAAGTTCTCACGGAGTCCTGTGTACCATACCATGTACTTTATGTGTAACACCACGGCCGTTAGCTCTGTCGTGGTGACTGCGTCAATTATACTTTAATCGTTCAAAATCCTTGTGTCCGATCAAGTACTGTAGAACCTCGTTAGAACGATTCAGTTGTGGACTCGTATATGTTTTTATTCTTCTCAAATATTGCTTCATAGGTATAGTGTAATTCCGCAGACACGTTTGTTGGAGAATTTGGGAATTTACTAGAGATAAACTTCGTGAATCAGTCTGCGCCGATGATTCTCTGTATTATTGTCGATATTCGTCTCGGAGTTCGTTGGGTTCCGGATTTGGTCATAAGGCTGAGGGGCACGACAAGGCTGATAGAATAGTTCACTTAGTGAGTTCTTGGACTCAGCCGGGCCAAGTCACCTGCCCCGGAGGAGTCAACATTGTGTCAGATGATGGTGATTGTCGCTCCGTCTGCTTTAAGACCTCATTCCCCCTCTGGTCTGCAGGCATCCTTCCTTCGCGCTTCACAATGTCTCCACCCTTCAGTGTTTCCAGAAGGGAAGTGCATCATGGCAGTTCCCAACGATGAGCGGCGTTCACAAGTCGAGACAACAGTCGAGTAAGCAAGCATCGGTCTTCCCTGTTTCCACAATACGAGGCAGGTCATTCTCACACATCAATACGAAATTAGTATTGTCGCCGTTCCAGCAATTGGCGCAGATCCAGAAAAGACGTGGAGCGATGAGGGGGCAGCCACGCCTTGGCTTCACTCCGAACTGACGAAACACGTTCAAAATGCCCGTGTGATACTCGTTGATCATGGGAGATTGGGGCCGCAGGATGATTTGGAATCCCTGGCGGACAAGTTGCTAAATCAAGTGCTCCAGAAACGCCAGGCGACTGTATGAATTCTGTATCTCTTTCTTCGATGGCTACATTGAAGCTGATCTGATTATCTATGCCCAGAGCCCACGGCGGCCTATCTTTTTCATCTGCCATAGCACTGGTGGCCTGGTTGCTAAATCAGCGCTTGTCGCGGCGAGTCAGAAAATATCCAATATTGAATCAATATGGTCAAGTTGTTATGGGATTGCCTTTTTGGCCAGTCCACATTTCGGCTCGAGCTACCTCTCAGCACCCGAATTCACCAACAGCGTTCACCACCTGATGCGACTCAAGCACCATATTCCGCCCGGGATGCAAGAGATCTTCAGGCCAAGACATCCTCATTTGATACGCCTTTGGAGTCAATTCAAGTCTATCTCAGCAGACATGAAGCTGTGGTCTTTTCTGGAGACGCTTGACTCCGAAATCAGCATCGTTGACCACGAAACAGGGACTGCTGTCGAAATGCACGTTCCCATTACCTCGATTCGGTCAGGAATATTGGACTTTGAGCACGAGAAGGTCATTCCTTTGACGGCCGATCATATTGGAACCGCTTGTTTCAGGGGTCAAGAGCTAACGACAAGGTTGAACTTCATCAATGAGCTCCAGTCAGCTATTTCTATGGCTGTGATGCTGTCTAAGATGAACGATGCCCCCATGGATGTGGACCAGGAAGTCATGATTCAGGTCAGTGGATTCTTTGAAGACACGGCTCGAGGCGTCAGCGACGAAACACCGCTCAAGCTTTGGTCCACAAAAGCACCACTGAAGGACTATCTCGCATCTGGGCCATCGACGTGCCTCAAGGATCGACTTCAAAAGACAAGTGGTATTCCTGCTGGCCTTCTCGATGATTCTTCAATTAGCAGCTTCGACAGTAGGCCCACGTCTGCGCACGTCCGATCGTCAATTGATGGCACTGTGAACCCCACTGCAGCACGGATGACTGAAAGGACTAGATCTGAGCCTATTATGTCAAGACCACCGCTGAGAGAAAGTCGGAGCTTTATGGCATCCCTTTCTCCTCGAATACATGTCACCGAGCCTTTCGGCGATGGTTACTTTGGTGCGCGGCAAGAGCCGGTCTCAGATTCGCAAAGCCCTATAGAACAGACTCAACATGAAGCTGAGACAGACAATGCCAATGATGATAATATATCTGCTTTCAAGCATCTATCGTGAGTTTCCCCCTTGGTTTTATGCCGTGCTTACCGCTAAAATCGCTTATACGTAATTTTAGAGCAGGCTCGTCAAACAAATTTAAAACCTTCCTTCCAGTGCCAAAGCTATCAAGAGACAAACAAGACGAAGAACGAGCTGAAAAGCCGCGGAGAATACCTCGATTTGA